GATTATGCGCTCTCCCAAACTAGAGCACATCTCGTCTAGAGAGCCTGTACTGACTCAGACAACGACTGCGTAACTTAATAAAATGAAGAAAACAGGATCTGCTGGATTTGAAATGGCCAATTTTTAGGTATTCTTGTGAGGAATTGGGTAGATAAGAATGATGACAGTAAATAGCACCAAACAAACTGTGAACGTGAGTCATTCACACCATGTTCTCTGCAGTTAACAGCTTAAGCGATTTTTTTAACTCGAATCAAAGCTAACACATAAGACACATGTATAAATACAAGCGTGAGCGTTAGGCTGGAGAAACTTTTGCCGAATTCGACATAGAATAGACAATGGGCAGAGATCCTTCGATAACGCTTAAGACCCAGGATATCTTCACTGGTGAGCATTATCTTGTGTTCTTTCACCGTCTACTACAACGCGGATTCTTTTGTATGCGTCTGCCAAAGTTTATTTTTCCTGATTCGGTCTAATTCTGAGATATTTTAACAAAGTGATCTTCAATAATGCATTGTCAATTGTTCTACTTTGAGCAAATATATTTTTAATCGGTAGGTACACCAGAATAGAAGCATTGGCGTATCATTCCACTTCGTCTAATATACCTGTCCAAAATTATCTAAAGATAATTTTTGTCTTCGGTTTAATAGTCGGTTATTGCAAATAGAATGGATTTTTTTATATCCTTGTGAGAGGCCTAGCTTTTGGCGTGATTTTGTGATCTCCGTAAGCGGTTTTCGTAACCTTTACCGAGTTTTCCATTGATCTAGCAACTCATTTCATGCCTAGGAGTTTTGTTGGCAGGAAAACCCACACAGTTGTAAAAAAAACAAGAATTTTCTTGCTATTTTTAATATTTTCAGGCTTAACGTAATGTGCTCTCTGGTCCTGTTTTGCCCTTTGAATGATATCTAAGTATACTGCAGTTGCGACAATCTCCAGTGGCTTGGGTTAGCTAGGAAGGGATATAATTGCAACTGAATTCATAATGCTGTGATCTCGATTTGGGTTTGCCCACACGCAAACTGTTGACGTTCACTAATGGAATCACAGTGAACTGCAGACAGTCCTTGAGAGTTATTTTTTCTTGCCTTATCTTAGTGTACAATTTAATCCATACGCAAACAAGTTTGCATCCACGTCCTTCTGAATACATTGGTTAACTGCCTTTAAATAATCGAGTCGCAATGTAAGTCTACAATTCCTGTCTGTTTTTAGAGCCGCCATTATCCCTCGTTGCTGCCACTGCCTATAACCAACACCATCAGCCTGGAACGTCTTATGCGTTGACAATTCAAACGTGCGT